TGATACCAGAAGACTTTTTAATCTCCAGCTCAGCCCTCTCCAGCTCTCTCCGAAATACTTCCTTCAGCTGGAAAAAAAGAAGAGTCTTTAAACCATTTTTTCTTGCAACCAGCAATAATTCTAGACACTTTGTTAAAAAATATATCATTACCATGGCAGCTTCTTCCTCTTTTCCTCTTATCTCGTCCTCTGTGGCCTGCAGTCGATGTTGAGTCTGCAGAAGGTCTTTCGTTAGCTCATCCACTCTGTCCTCCGCCTACAAAAAAGTAGAAACACACATCTTCAACTTCATCTCTTCTTATGCTTATATAGGCCTTTTTAAAGGAACTCTTCCAGTTTTTCACAATGTTTTATGTTCAGCTGCAAACTAGAATGAGTTCCACTGGATTTCATGGAATAGATAAACAACAGCGAATTACCTACAGAGATGCAAAGCTCAGCTATAGGACTGATGAACAAACTAAAATGACGTACAAATCTGGCCTTTATGGAGCTCTGGCTGTAATGATTTTGCCTCCCTGCTATTCTAATTCCCTGGGTAGCATAACTGTAACTAACTTGATCCCTCGGCCCATAGTGTTTCCTGTTCTTTCTAATGGAGTTTTCCTACTGATCTGCTGAAGTTTAAAGTTAAATAAACCATTTAATTGCCTCTCTGTTTGTTGTTCCTGGCTAAAATGTTGTTTCTCCAGAACCAGTTTTTTACGCTGACATAATTTTTGAACTTTTAAAGAAAATCACAGTTTTCCAAAGAAAATATGAAGGAGATTTGATCATTATTTGAAATTCTTCCAGAACAGATAGCGTCTAGGTTTAGCAACAATACATTGACTCATTCAGAGCCAACAGGTGTTAGTAGCACCATCCCTCGCCAAACAATAAAAGCAGTTATGTTTTAGTTTTTATTTGTCTACTCATGCATTTATCTTCTCTAATAAATGCCTGAGCCAAATAAGAGCAAAAAATTAAACATTTTGAGTATGTAAAAAAAAAAAGGTTGTGTATGGTTAAAAAAAATATGGAGTGCTAATAATCAGCAGGGACAGGAAAGATTGTGATAGTTGATAAGAAGTTTAAAAGTGATAAATACAGGAAAATCAGGTATGAAAGCCTCTTAGAAGCTACAAAAGAGCTGAAACTAGGCTGGAGGGGTCATTTACCCTTGTGATCTTAAAACTTAAACATACACCCTGACTTGGACGTAACTTTTTGGGGGGGGGGCATGTCCCCTGCATTTTTTCAAACATTCGTTTTAGTCCCCCGCACGTTGTACTCGCCAAAAACAATGTTACGCTACAGTAAACGAAAAATCGTCGAGCACTAGGACCAACCGCAAAACCACAGCTCAAGCTGAAGCCCGCTTTCCTGAGTTTAGACTGCCCACAAGCTCCTGATTGGCCCACCATCTTTTCTTGTAAGGTTGGCTGTCACCGCTGTCACTCTTAAGAAGCTCACTTTACAAACGACTGATGCGCCACTGAATCGGGTCTGTGATTGGATGGTCGTCTCCATCAAACTTTACTGAGCTATTTTGCAAAGAAGAATGAGAAAAGATTGCTGTTTGTAGATGTTCAAAGCTGGTAAAGACAATTCTTCAAAAACTGGAGCTGTCATGGCAACAAAATATTGGTTTTAAGAAGACTGGACAAATGGCAGCAAAAAACAGGCTCCACACAGCTCTTGATTTTTTATATGTAATAAGTGTGAAAAATATTCCATGTGACCCCACACCGATTATCATTCTATTGCATAAAACCTACACAGAATACACTAAATGTGGTTGTTCCATATAATCAGCCAGGACAAATCCATGTCACTAGAATGTAAACCATAACATTAGATGAGAATCCACCACATTCTATAATGCAAGGAAAATTACAGCCTGAAATGAAAAAAAAAACTTCGTCAGGGAAGAACTGCCCTCTTCACAGATTGAGTACCTTGTCTAGAGCACACCTCAAAGCAACCTTGCTGGTAATTAGTCTGTGGGCCAAACTATCATTTTCCTGCTCCAGGCGAAGGCTGGCCTGCTGAAGACGACGGTTTTCTTTCTGCAAAGTGCAGAAAAAGCATTGAGTTTCTGTAGCTGAGGAATGAAAATCAGGTCAATTTAGAAAAAGGAAAAACATGAGTCGGTTCTGACCAAGCATCTGTCCACAGGGTCATCGTCCATGATTTGAAGTCGACTTTGCCCAAGTTTCACTTTCTTTGTGGGGACCTTAGAAAAAAAAAAGACATGGCTTGTTATTATGGAAAAAGGAAAAAATAACCAGTTTAAAAGAAATGGAGAAATCCATCTCTCCCAGAAACAGATTTCTGGGATATAAGATGAGCTTGACAAATCAAGAACAGGCCTCAGAATGAGATCCAAACAAGGATAATTCAAAGATAAGATAAAGCCGAGTACATGGGGGACATGGTAATCTACAACGCATCAGGGGAATTATGGAGGACGAGAGGGTTTATGGCAAAGCATGAAATGGATTTTCATATCTGAAATATCAGAACTCTTTTCAGGGTGCTGCAAATGAGAAATCTCACTGATGTATTAGATGTTGTGTTGGGACTTATGCCTTGTCATTGCCAGTCAGCAGAAGCTCATGTGAGGAATGCAGAGAGACAATGTAAACGGAAGCACACGGCATTAACGTGATCTTCCCCCGTTCACAATAAAACAGGCCCTAATTAGATCTGTTGGAGCTGAATAACAATATCTTATGCTAAAAAAACACCCAACACCATTTTAATTAATACCAGAAATAAACCAAGGGTTTGGCTTAGACATAATAATCAGGAATCCAACACTGAAGCAGGAAAAGCGATAAGCAGGGGGTCTGCAGGGTGATGAGACTGGTCCCACCTTTACCTGTAAATACCTTAACATTCAAGCATTTTACTAAAGGCCAAACTACTGTAGCTGGCCTGAAGAGAAACCTTTCCAGGACTGATGAAAAAATTTATCTATTTCTTTTGAGCACTGTGAAACCTTTATCCAATAAGCCCCTAAAACCACTAAATTTAAGCCTGGAAAGCATGTAAAGCATGGTACTGTAGCTCATGCATAATGATATTCGAATGTTTTCACTTCACTAGAATTTGTACACTAGAATATTTTTAAAGGTTATGCTGTCTGCAACAAACCAAATAAAAAGAAAAATGCAATAGATAGAACGCAACATCTTCGATGCAGACCAACAAGTAAGTGATAACAACTCTTGCAACATACATGAGGAAACAGCAGTTATTGCAGCTAAATATACATTAAACTGTTTGCAGAAAATGTTCTAACATTGCTCAGTTTATACAGCACTGATACCTTGAGGAGAATAATATCGTTCTGTTCCCTCAAGTTAATACCAGATTTAATCTGTAGTGCTTTCAAATGCTTTTAGAAGTTTTCAACAAAAAAAAACAGAGTTCGCTGACGTTTTCAAGCATTGCTGTTTACTATTTTGAAAGCACGTGTACATGGCATTGATTTGATGTTGAAATGAGAAGTGCAAATAAATATCTGCTATTAAATCACTCAGATTGGTATCAGAGACAGGAATTTCACTTTAAGGAAACCCTGATTAATGCAATATTCTTCTTTGACAGAAAACCAGCTTAGAAAGAAACACACATAATGCAAATATTCCCCAAAACTAACTTTCTAAGTAATTTAAACCAGTTTTGTTACAAAGGTTGACTTTATACATGATGACAAAAGCATTCAACAGTAAATGACTCTTACATTGAATGTCGGTTCCGTTTCAGCAACCAGACAGGCGAGGATCTCCTCCTCACTCATCTCCTCAATAGCATGGTCATTACAGGCCGTCACCATGGACACCTCCTGCATCATCTTGCCCAGATTTTCGGACACTAGAGCTGCTCCCCACCAGTCAGAGTACCTCCGCGTAAAGCCTCTGATTCCAACCAGAAAAAGTCAAGAAATGTCACCTGATCTCAATAGAGAGGCTTAAAAAGACACAGTAGTCCGTAAATGAGAAACTTAAGCAGCAACGTTGAAGTTGAAGTCCAAGCTTCCTGGAAGGAAGGGGATTTTGTTAACAGTTCGAAGGTGAGCAACGTTGTCACAGCACCAGACAGGTGAAGTGAGCGCAGCAGTGAGTCTTTCACAGGTGTGTGTGCACCAACAGGTTCATAGGTGTTTATATGACCAAGACTGGGTGAAAGGAAATACTGCTTTGGACACGCCCACAGTTGTGTTTACATCACTTATCTCACCTGTTTTCTTCTTTGACTCACGAATCCAGCTGTTTATGAGCCTCAATTGTCCATTTAATCAGCTAACCCAATAAAATGTACTTAAATAGGTATAATGAGCAAACATAGTTCATCTTTTTTTATTGTGCACTTTCATTTTCAGTTTTTTCCTTTTTTCTTCACACACTAGCACCATGCTGTGTGAACCTGCTAGACCTGTCAAGTCAACCCTGCAGTGCATGTAAGAAGTAAATGATGTGGCATCTGTGATATTTCTCCCAGGGGTGTGTGTGTGGGGGGGTGGCTCTATTATTGTTATGGGCTAAGCAACCTGACAGGAAAGCAGACAGGTCCAGCTGGTAAGGCAAAGCATACCGGAGCAGGCCGGCAGAATAACAAGGACGTCTCTGCTGTTCTGAGTAGGCCCAACATTTTCCCTGCATGCTCCAATGTTGCACCTAAACATGATGATGCAGTTTATCGTAACTTCATCTTCCGCTGTGAAGTCTCTCATGTCTCTCACATGAATGTTTCTCCAGCTCTCACTTCTCTTTCTCATAATTCAGTTTCACTTCTGTCTTCGAGTGTACGCTTTTTTTTTCCTTTTCGTGTTTGTCCCTTTGCGGTCAACGCTTTTTGCTGGAATCTATGGTGGATAAAACACTGTTTTCCCTTTTCTGACACAGAACCTGTGAATTTAACACATTGTGTTTCGTCCCTCTGAGTCACAGTAAGAAAAAAAGCACAAAAAAAGCACTGGGAGGCATAAACTTTTATTTTTGTTCTCAAAAAAAGAAGAAGAAAAAAGGTGAGAAATAGATTAATAGAGACAAGATGGGTTTTATTACTCTAACAGGGTGTACTAAATAAAAAAAATGTACCAATACATTTGAAAGAAAGGTCAGAAAATTAAATAAAACCAAACAAAAAGTACAAAGCTCATTCTACCAGATATTGGAATATTTTGCTTGGTCAGAGTATATTATGTAAACCAGAAAGCTAATTTGAAACAGAAAATAAAAACCAGTAATTGATTGTATGTGGTGGTTTTGTCGTGGGACATAGATCTGTTAAAAACATGGATCAGCACAGGATGTGATAAAGCACGGTGTGAACGTTGTGATATAGAGTTGGAGCAGCCCCTTACAGAAGTATTCATACCCTTCAGTGGATTTTGCTAAACTTTTCTGTGATAGAACAATGTAAAGTAATGCATAATGGCAAGCATTGAAAGAAAATGACATAATATGTCCTACAAATCTAAAATAATTGGTGCTTATTTAAATTCCTTCCCTTTTTACTCTGCAACCCTGAAGTCAAATTTTCTTCTAAACGGCAAATAGCAGATTTAGTTGTATGATCTCAGATTTAAACCAGTTGCTCTGTGAAGGCCCAGAGGTTTGTTGCAGAACATTAGCAAAATAATCTACATAATGAAGTTAAGGAAATAAAAACATCCAAGGCTGCTAAATGTGTCACTGAGCGGTGAAATGAAAAGATGATGAAAAAACTGCCATGACTGCACAAGGGCAAAAATCGGACACGCAAATAACTGAAAAAATTTTCTCTTTGGGGGATCTATTGGGATCCACAGCTCAGGTGTTAAGTTTGCTACAGTCATGTAGGAAGTCTTGAGAGTGTGGAAGAAAGTCTAGTGGACAGACATTCTGCAATCAAGCATGGCGATGGCAGCATGACTGTGGGGAATGTCCTATTTGGATAAATGATGCTAGATACTGGAACAGCCTTAGAAGAGCAGATGTTTCACTTCCAGCAAGATGAAAAAAAAGGTCCTTAACTAACAGCCAGATCAAAGGGAACAGTTTGGATAGGTCAGGCTTCAAAGTCCAGATCCGAATCTAATTGAGAATTAATTTAATGCAGAATTCCTCTTCACTGTTTTTTATTTTTCTATCCAAAAAAAAAAAAAAAATCTAAACCTGGGGTTACAAAAACGGTAGGTCAGACTTCAGATGTTAATTTTAATATAAACAAATCAATTTAAATACTAAAATTATTTCAATCATTTCACAATATACACTAATTTCCATTGATCTATCACATAAATCCCCCAAATATTTGATAAATATTTAATATTTGGGACTGCTGAAAAGTAAAGGGGTATGAATACTTTGCAAGGCACTCTACTGGGATTAGAAACTAAATCTCTGAAAACCCCCCTTAATATAATTTGTGACAGTAAAATGTTGCCTCTGAATACACATTTCACAAGTAAGAAGAGAAAGTAAAACGGAAGAAGAGGAAATTAGATACTTTTCACAAAAATAGACAAATTCAGGCATAAACTGTATAATAATACTGCATCCGTGGCTTTAACATCACTAAAATACGGTACATAATTTCAGTTTATGTTTTTTTATTTGTCGCTCTTTTATCACAATTTTAAAAAATCCCAGGAATTTCTCTTTCTTTGTCTGTATTTACCCAAGAAAAGGCCAAAAGCACCAAATTAAACAGCAGACAGTGAAACAAACATCCCATTTTGACAGCCTGGTTTTCTTGCACTTCATCACAACAAAGGTCACAATTAAAACACTTGAGACTTTCCTTGTTTACTGAAACTAACCGGTAGAAACTGCAAGATGCACAAAACTGCATAAAAAACTCCCCTTTACCTTCCCTGTTTCAACTCCTTTAAGGAGTTTCAATTACTGGCAAACGACTGCACAAAGAAAACTGGTAGCCCTCATGTACTGTAAGATGGAGGGGGAGGGAGGCTGGGGTTCACACATTTTCCTTTTGTCTTAGTTAACATGCAGAAAGGGGAAGAGGAACGGCAAATAGAAACTAAACTGAGGGGGTGATGTGGAGGAGAATCCTGTTGTGAGATAAAACAACACATGAAGACAGATCAATCATGTGCCTCAACTGCTCTTCACTGCTAATCTGATTTTTACTCTCGGTTTGGATTAGATTTCATGCTGATACAGAAAAACAGCACAGAGATTTGACATTAGAGCTAGAAGTGAAAGAAAGGAATTTCCTTGGTTTTAGTTTTGGATAAGAAGCATGACATCAACATTAGATCTAAAAGCAATTTATTTCACACAAAAAAAATCCTCATCCTACATCTCATAAATCTGATATTTCTGTGCACCTCTACCAATAATTGGTGTGCACATATACCTATTGGCAGTGGAAGCCCATGTGTTTGTAGCTCTATAGATTGAATTCTAGGTCTGCAGCATATTGATACAGGTTTGCGTAAAAGAGGAGACTTTAAAGTAGATGACAGAGGTTTTGTAAGGGATAGCATGAGGTGGTGTCAGAGAAGAAAACCCTTCTGTGGAAGATCAGTGTTATTTAGACCATTATGACACAAGAAAGAAATCAGCTTCTAAAATATGATTCATTTGTTGGTAAAAGGAATTTTCCCCTATTCTACAGATTTACTTCCATAAAATAATGCTTAATATTTACTGGTTCACTATTCCAAAATATTAATTTGGGGATCAATCGGCATGAGGTGTGAATGCTTCCACATCTGCGATGGTACAGAGATTATACCTCCAATGTTTTCACATTAGCAAGACAGGATTTAGCCTTGGACGACACAATTTGTGCCATTTACTGAAGTGGAAATAATCTTGCTGCAGCGTTTGTAGGCTGCTGCATGAATTTGTTGCCCACACAGGAGCACTATCAGTGGGCTGAGCTTGTGGGTGACTGTGACTAAAGTCAGATTGTGCAATGATCTAGGTATAATTGTGCCATGTTTCAAGAAATCACCTGATTTCAGTACTAAGAGGCATTTACAAGTTAACCATGTTGGGGTATTTGCGTGGAAAATGGTTACTGGTGATCAGAGAGTCAGACGTCGGTGCTATAGGGGCGTGGCGGGGAAGGGAAAACGTCTGTGGGGCTGTAGTAGCTCAAAGGTGAGGAACGCTGTGGGTTTACAGGTAGAGGAAGAGAGGCAGACATGTTTTCATAGTAGGTGTGGAAGCCAAGCCGCTCCCCTCCGTTACGCACATCGTCTGCAAGTCCAGAGCGGATGGGGTATGGCGAACATGTGGGGCAGGTGTTGTGCTGTGAACCTGAGTCCAGCTGATCCAGGGAGACCGGGGTGATGTCGGTCCCGTCCATTGCGAGGGCGTTGCACGCGTTGCAGGGAAAGTGAGACAGAGGATCTGCTCCTGCCGTTGAGCCCACATCCGCCTCAGACTCATTTTTCTTACAGCAGTAATACTGCAGGACATAAACAGCATACACAGGGACAGAAAAGGGGAGAGGAGTTCAGATTCTTTACCAAGAAAACATGCTATACAATGAGGATTAACTGTACTAAAGCAAATTTGACGTAGTAGTTATTATAATTAGAAATGCACAGATCTGATCCAGGTATGAGATCGATGGATCTCTAACTATATTCATCATAATAGCTAAATACTTAAAATTTATTAAGGTTAATTAACATTAATGTATTATTTAATAATTAATCTTGCATTAGCAGCAACAAACACATTAACATATCTAAAAATAATTATCTTCTGTAATGATCCACAGTATTTGGGGGCTAAGCTATTATAATCCCTGGTTTAGATGCAAAAATAAATAAAGTAATTTCTCAAGACAGTAGCACATTCTTTCACAAAAAAAATATAGAAATTAACTAAGGCAGTAACATCATAAGTAATTAATAAAATCACCAATGGTACAGTTATCACTAAGGATCCCCATAATGAATATGACCAAAACCCCTTTTTCATTTCTTATGAAAATGAAACCTCTTTCTGGGAACTCCCTTTAGTATTGCTGCTACAGTAGTAAGTATTATGTAAGGCAGTGACCCATTTCTTTAGAGACTGGCCGCTCGGACGGACGAGGACCATCATTAATCTTTTTACTTGCACTGTCAGCAGGATAGTAAAGCAGATAAAACTCTAAAACTCTGTTAGGAATCTATGACAAAAGAGAGGCTTAGTAAAAAGATGTTAGCCATATTCAGGCTGTTAAAATGTTACATATTTAGACATAACTGATGATAAAGAATTCATTTAAGTCAAAATTGATATTGACTGAGCCCTCGTCACCTTCACAAGTTGCAGAAGAAAAAAAATGAACAGCATACTATCCCCTGCTAGAGGATCTGTGATAATAAGACAGTTTTTCTTTAATCTTGTTAAACATCAAGGCATCATAGATTCTTCAAAACACCAAAGTCTGAACATAGCATGTCCTTCTTGGGTCTTTCTCCTTATGGAAATAAGATGTTAATAAATCAAAAGCAGAATCTTTGCTTTACATTTTCAGTGATACAATGTAAAAACTAGATTGAACCCTAAGGATTTTTGCACAGCATTAACATATAAGCCGACAAAGTCTGTGAATATTAAATGATATTCACACATTTCTATTTTTTATGGATCTTTAAAATGTACAGGGAAGCAAAACAATTACCCATAGTTTTACGTCTAAGGAAACTGCTTAGGAAAGATCACTTTATCTTATATATTCTTTTTGTTTTCAAATTGTGAGACATTAATTAGTGCGTTACTTGATACCTGCAGTCTACAGTAACAGAGAACTGCTACGATGCACAGCAGTATCACCCCAGCAAGAATGCCTCCAGTTATAACGATAGTTCCCGCTGACATTCGACCAGCTCTCCATCCAACCCTGTAAAGATGAAGGGAGAAACAGAAAAAATTGGAGGTGGTCAGAGAGACATTTATGAATAAGGAAAAAAAAAACTGATAAATGCTGGAAATGTGTTGCAGAATACCTTCTCATAAAATATTACATTCATATTTGGGAAAACTAGAACAATCTCCTTAAAACAGACAGATTTCTGTTTGTGGGTATTCAGTAGATGACTGATAATGTCTGATGATAATACCTGTGCTAATTTGCACAACAGTGACAAACTTTTCATTTTCTGTTGGCTGGAATGAGCAGAATTTAGAGAACATGTTTACTTTGATTCTACAAAAGCCTCAGGGTAGAGCTGTAAAATGCTGCTTTCTACATAAGCCGAAAACATTAAAACATGCCCTCATTCTGAGTTCTGCTCATGATACCGGGCTTTTGCTTTAAAACTTTCATAATATATTCCCAACATCTTGACCTGGTGACTGCACAAGCCAAAGTATGTTATATTTTAGCAAGAAACTGTATTTCTTAGTGAGAAGTTGTTGATGGATGGAAGATTACAGCTGTCATAACCAAATTCTATAGTTTTCCAGAGCTAAATGTATTGATTTATATGTAGAGGTATCAGATTGGGAAATTAGGGAAGGAGAGGTGGAGGTGGGAAGGATGGATGGATGGATGGATGGATGGATGGATGGATGGATGGATGGATGGATGGATGGATGGATGGATGGATGGATGGATGGATGGA